GGATAAAAAAGGGATGTCACCAACAACATACATACATACACTTTTTTAAGCTTTTAAAGTGGATATGATGAAATAGAGTGCCATAAAAAAAATTAAGTGAAGTTTTTTTTCCTTTTTAAAAAATGATACAATCATCCATTTTTCAGCTTTACAAATGAACTTCTGAATTAAGAGTGAGAAGCATTTTTTAAGTCGCACAACACTAAAATACACACAAAACAAAACTCGATAGCTGTCAATAGTTTCAATGAAAAACAATATAAATATATAGATATTTTATTCGACTGGGGTGTATCTCTGGATCAAGCAAATAATTTGCACAAATATATCTTACCAAGGAAGCTGATTTCGATGCGATCAACAGTTGATCTCAAAAATGAAAAGAAATGAAAAGATACATTGATGAAAAATTATTTTAATGAATTTTTTTCGGCCAGAGAAAATGTGTAACTTTGAGAAGAATAAATACTATTTCTTAAGATTAAAGATCTAAATGTAAAAACAAAACAATTATGAAATAAACCTTTAAGAACTATCAACAACAAAAAAATTGCTGAATTTTTTGGCTTGTAAAGACCATTGTCGGACCTATATGTCACGACCTACATGCACCCAGGATCAAATAGTCAATTGTTGTTTTGGTGTATAATTTAATTTTGAAAACAAACCGATACACGTGCTTTAAACCATCGACACATTCAAACTTGTACACACACAAACACAAAATACGTAAGCACAATGTATGAAAGGAGCTATATTATGTAAAATACAATTATCGAAGAACATGAAATAAAATCTTTTACTAAAAAAACACATTCTATGGAGCCCACTTTTCTTAGTTTTTTTTCCCATTTAGTTTTGATTTTTCAGGAACAGCAAAATACGAGGGCCAAAATAAGGCTCTCTTTGCCCAGCGTGGACATTTTTTGCGATGGAGCTTCCGCTCGTCCAGTCCAAATCGAACAGGAATTTGTCAAATAACAAATCGATGTTCCACTTTAATACTCGTAGACTCCTTTTATCAATTTCGATTCTATAGACTCACTTATTTGTTTCATTTCTGTAGACCAGTGACCGGTTCGCGCATATTTCTATGCTTGCCTAAATACGCTAGGTAGCATAGATATGCCAAGCATAGCCGCAAACGCAACCGACGCATCGCCGTTCACTCTATATGAACAATGCACATGTTCGTTTATGCAAACGACCGTGCGCATACAATATAGCTCGAATCGAATGGCGACGGGTGAGTTGCGGCTTGCGTCTCCGCTATGCTTAGCATAGCTATCAGGCATAGAAATATGCGCGAACCGGTCACTGCTGTAGACTCAACGTACAAGTTAAGTTTTTATTCTAATCCATTCAAATATGCCTTATCTTTATTATTCATCTGCCAATAGGTGGCTATCAGAAAATAATAGCTATTATTTTCATTTTTTATTATTATTTCCAACTTATCTCATTTTCTTGATCAAAAGTGGTATGATGAAAAGAAAATTAATTTATTCAAATGTTTTTGAGCACGAAATGTTTGTTTTATATTTCTTAATTAATTAGATATTATGCGGGGTTGTAATAAAAATTATTAATTTTAAGGGTGACTTTCAACTTGCAACCAGTTCAATATAAACACGGCGTGAAAACAAGTATTAATATGGATCATGGAGCATTTTCAACAATTTTCATATCTTTGATAAAAGTTCCTTTTTCGTATTTAGTTTATGTGTTCTCAGCATGTTTTTGTGTGATTTCAAAAAGTTTCTCGTTTTCAAATTGCAAGAAAGTGCTTCAATTGTCAAAAAATTCGTTTTTATTTGAATTGTCTCGAGATTCAAATGTGCATGGTTTCAATCATTTAACCAACAGAAGCTATACTGCAATTGAAAGGTATAAATAACTTTTTTTACATGAATATATAAAATGTCTTACATCCGTAAGATAAAATTTTCCGCACTGTGATCCACAACATGCAATTATTACAAATCTTTTACTCAAAGAATTCACGAGAAAACTGAATCTGACATTAGTTTTACGATACAAATAATATTTTCGAGGCACTTTTCATACAAAAACTACTAAAAATGGGAATTTTTGTATCGGAGCCATGCCTATATGATATCGTAATCATGTGAAAATTTGCAGAGGTTATTTTTTTCACAAAAAGTTAACATTCTGAAAGTTTGAAGAAATTTCAGCGCATATTAGGAGTACCTCCCAAACAAAATTTTGGATTTTTCGCTCAAAAACGAAATTTTGTATGGGAAGTACCCTTAATATGTATTGAAATTGTATTGCAAATTTAGTATCATATTCGGTTTTCTCGTGCCAAAAAACTCCCCAACACACATTTTTGAGTAGAAATTAAAAACCAAAATGTAGAAATTATGTACAACAATTATCGTGAATATGTATATACAAAAAAAAATTGGCTTTTTTAAAAATGAAAATTTCAAAATCCGGAAAGTGTTTATCCGAAATTCGTACACCACCAAAGTGAATCTCTTTAAAATGTATAAAATTTGTACAATTCAAGTCACCCATCATATTTGAAAAATTTCAACTGAGTCGAGAAATTTCACATATTATTTGGCATTTGACTGAATTCGCAACGAGCGTTTGCCCAACTTTTCAACTATATACAAAATATGTACAACTCAAATCTGTTATTAGATTTGAAAAATTCCAATCCGGTAACTTTCTGTAGCAAAAAGTTTAAAAATCTAAAAAAACTCAATTTACAGAAAAAAATTACCCGAAATTCGTACACAACCGAAGTATATATGAATGGCTCGGAATAATAATGACTTTAATTTTTTAAAGCCGTCTCCGTCTTATGGAAGTCAGATCTGATTTTGTACATTCGATATTGATTATGATAAATTACGGTTCTTTTTATTAATTTGACGCCGTGCACAACAAATTCGTACAAGAACTGAAGTGGTATAACCATCCTAGTCGCCGCACATTCGTCGGTTGGGCCCTGCAGAAGCTCCAAAATGATACGGAAACATATATTTTATTTCAATTCAAAGTTCTATCAGTATAAAAAAACACCCGTTTTATATTGACGTATATGTTTGACGTTTCGTTGTAGATTCGGTTGGCTACTATTGGTCCTAACCTTCGCCTACTTCACGTTTTCAATTTGCTTCAATCAAGTGGTCAGATTTGTGAACGATCCATTTATATTAACTCTGGATACCAACTATCACAAATGGACGTATTATATGCCTGGAATCACCGTTTGTACTGATTTTGAAAATGAACGTTTTATTGAAGAGTTCTACCAACGCACTACAAATGCATCGATTGATAAGAATTCAAAACACTATCAAGATTATCGTCACGACATGACAATAATCGGATCAATAACTGCAGACAGCATGCACTTGATTGATAAACTTAAAAATATGAAATTATTCAGGAATCTCAGTGGAGAAGATTTGTTGGATGTCGTGGCAAACGTATAAATTCTTTTTATAAATAACATACTCTCCGGCAAGTCACATTTGAACACCTAATCGGGAAAAGGTGAAATATTTGGTGCTTTACGCTGTTAAAGAAATAATTTCCGTACACTATGTATGTGAAAAATAGTATGGCATATTCATACAATTTTTGCAATATCTCAAAAACGGTAAATGCACAAAATATTACCTCTAGTTTCGATTGGAAATGATTCAGAAGAAACTTGCTAGAAAGTATACGATAACATTGTGTTTGTAATAAATTTGTTAATTCACCGGCCATTTGTTAATTTACAGATGAAAACAGACACTCGACAGTTAGATTTTGATCGTAGTTTGCGTCCAATTATTTCAGAAGCTGGAATATGTCACACGCATTCGACCATCTACGATTATTTCATGAAAGATTTTCCAATCAAATGGTACTTGAATTTCAGATTATTTGTACATATTTATAATAACAAACCGTCTAAACTCAAATGCCTCAAATCATGATGGCAAAATTCCGTAGGGGGTCCCTGGAAAAATCCATGGGGGGTCCCTGACGATGTCAACAAATTGTAGGAAATGAGGATATAATCGTTTTTTTATTGCTCTTCACTTTTTTGGCGAAAATCCCTAGCAAATCGAAAGAATTTTCTCGGCAAAAAAAGGGAAGAGCAAAAAAAGCAGTGAATAGATTGAGCTACAGCTATATCAGTGCTATTTACACAGCCCCTATTTATAGGCGCTATTTACGACTTTATGATACAATTCCGAACGAAATGTTCAAAATGTAAATAGAACAATTGACTTATTGATTTTAGTATTTTTTTGCGTAAACAAATCAATAGGTTTATTGTCCGGAATTGTATCATAAACTCGCTGTCCGTATGCGTTGTTCACAAATAGCACCTATGAATAGGAGCTGTGAAAATAGCACTGCTATAGCTGTAGCCCAATCTATTCACTGAAAAAAAGGTCCTCATTTCCAAAATTGTTTAGGGTTCCTGAAAATATTTTAGAGGGGGTAATCCGAACCCTAGGAACCCTCGTCATCACCTATGCCTTAAATCATTCAATATTATTTCAAAGATGTTTTACAACATTTTTTTGGCTACAAAGTTGAAATTGTTTGTTAATAATATTGAACATTTTACTACTACACATTTTTTTCGAGTCTTGAACATTTCCATATTTTTAGATATATTGCATAAATCAAATGAACCGTTGAGATGAAAAAAATACGTCTTATTTTTCCCACAATAATTCTTGAACATACAAATGACTTGCTCCGAATAATAGTTGAACATGATTTATACATGAATTTATTCGGGTCGCTGGCATGTTGAAGTATTATTCGCATCTTTTGCATGTTCAGATATTTTGGAAAGTCATTCTTATGTTCAAGTATTATTGTGGAAAAAATGAGACGTATTTTTTCATCTCAACGGTTTATATATAGAATCTTATCTATCTCAAATCTCTCAAAAATCTATTTTTAAAAATCTGAGGAGTTTGATCTTATGGAAAATGTATTTGCAAATTAAATTTAAAAAGGAACGAAAAGACACAGAGATGGTGGGAGCCCCTTTGGCCATGTAGCATACTTCAACATTGTAATATGATTTCCGCATTAGTTAGACCTATCAAAAAAGCAAAGATTGTGAGTAGATGCTCTTTTTAATGATTTAGAAAAATATTTTCTCATATTTATTGTTTCTCAAAGTATTTTCATGGAACAAAGGACATACTTAATTTAAAAAGATCTCCACAATCTGAATGGTATCCCACAACAGACTTTAATACCATGCAATTTGAAATAGATATAAGTGCCGTATCCACTAGCAATCGCACCAAAATGTTTGGCATTGAGAGTCGCAAGTGTAGATTTGAAGAAGAAATTACATCAAATCGTAGCTATCCGCTTGGTGTGTACACGCAAAACTTTTGTTTGATGGAATGTAGTGCTGATATTGCGGTAAAATTGTGTGGATGTCGGCCATTCCTTTACAATATGGGTGATTGTTTTTGTTTTTGTTTTATTGAATCGAAACACTTTCACACTATTATTTTAAATTATTTTTTATATCGATATGTAAATTTTAGGCCCTGGACCTATTTGCAATGTGACTGCAATGTAACATTTTGTCAGTTTAATATTTAATATGATTTTAATCGATTACTTTCAAAATTTCGTAGGATTTGCTTGTATAAAAATGATTGGAATGCATACAGGGAAAACTGTTCATGTTTACCGCAATGCAATTCAGCTGAATATTCATTCGTGCGAACACAAAAAAATTGGGGTGATTATATAGTTTCGCTGAAACCAAAAATAAAAAAGACACGAATCAAAAGAGATATTAAATTTGGAATCCATTTCTTGGTTGGTGTGTATAGCTTATATAAGTTTTTATTTTAATTAAATCATTTTATACTCAACTATTTCAATTTTCTTCTGTTCTATGAAAAGTATCGATCGGTGGAGCTGCAGCATTGTTTCTCGGATGCAGTCTAATAAGCATTGCTGAGTTTATCTACCTTGTCACAATTCACGTGTATGTGAACTACGCAAAGAGATCCAAAGCGAAACAAGAAATCAGTGAAAATACTCTTGAGAGTAAAAATGACATTTCAAGTGATGCAAACTACATTGGAAAATTGCAAAACAAGCTTAATTACTTTCTACAAAACAGTAATTTACATGGATTACGATACTTAGATGTGGCTCGATATGAATTTTTCGATCGGTTAGAACATTAAATTTTGTTAAAGTATTTACAGACGATTACAGCGAATTTCTTAATTTTAGTATTTATTGGATTTGCATTATAATCGTCTCATTAATTGCAATGATTTGGATATTGGTATACACATTAAATGACTCTTTGGACAATTTGATTGTTACCAATTTCGATGTGATCAAATCAAACCAGAAGAATATATTTCCTGGCATTTCGATTTGCATGACGAGGTTGGCTGAAGCCGAAGTAATATCTGAAGATATAAAGCAATTTATTCAAAAATATTACGCAGAGCACAACATTGATGAACCAAAATCGTAATTTGAACATAATACTTTCCATGATGTTGATTCCTAAAATGATTAAAACTGATTTTTCCAGCGAGGACTTATATTTTCAAATTATGGACTATGCATATCACAGTTTTGGTATTAACAGATATCTAAGAAAATTAGATATTTGTGAAGCAATAAATAGTACTTGCGGTGTGGATGTTAAGATTATTAAACAAATGGTTGGCACTTGCGTCTAAAATCCTTTTTTGGTTGCAAATAAATTAACGTTTATTTCAATTTCAATTAGCTTTGGCCACAATGTAACAATCTGTTTAATATTCAATTTAACGGAAGACATTATTACAACTGCAACGATATTTTCAAACGAAAAATCATTTATGGTGAAGGCGTGTGCTACGTGGCTAACTCAATTTCCTTCTAGTAAATATGAAAAACAATGATATTAGTGTGGCAAATTAACTTTCGTAAAAATGCCCATGTCATTTTATTTAATCAGTAATTTAGATTGGGACCAACTACCATTGACTTACTCTGCACATGAAAGAAATAACACATTCAGCTTTGATTTAATTCAAATGGAAGGTTTTATTTTTTATGTTAGTTATATTTTATTGCTATTTTCATATTTTTATAAAATTAATAAAAAATGTTCTTTTTAGATTTTATTTCACAGTCCAGATGAATTTCCGAATGCGCTTTTTAGTCCATTTTCTAGTCTCATTGATGACAAGGATCAAGAATTCAGAGTGAAGGTTACATAGTTCATACTTGACATTTGTAATAGGATGGATGAATTTTTGTCGATTTGAGTGGGCAGCTCAGATTAGTTGCATAAGGATGAGCTGATTCTAAAACAGCCACTTTCGGATGGGGTCATGGATCATATAGGGTGACGACTTCAACAAAAATGGAGACATCGTCTTTTTTAAATGGATTGAGATTTTTAGTTATCAAAATTTCTGTTTATTTTTCACTTTTCTATGCTCAAATTGATCTTTTTTCATCATTCAAGACCATATTTGGCAAAAATTTTGATTACAAAAAATCTCAAATTTTTGCCATTTTTTTCGGTTTTTTGTCTCCACTCTCGTTGACATATGACCCCATCAAAAGTCATCCACCCTAATTTGTAAGCTACAAAAATAACTTAGATAAATAATGAATGATTAATTGAACAGACTACTCAAATGATAAATTCGGCAGACATAAGAGATCTTTCGATTGAAAAGCGACAGTGTCGATTTCCCGATGAACGTTGGCCCCCGAATGCATCTATGCCCTATAGTTTTGCCACATGTTTTATTTATGTCCGGGCCCAATTGGAAATACAACTCTGCAATTGCACACTACACTTTGCACCGAGTGAATGTAAGAAATTCGTTTAAAATTAGCGAAATAATTGCCAATCGCATTCTAATTTGTTTGATACAACAGATGAAAATCATTACTGCAATTTCAAACAAATGAAATGTATTGCGGCTCATATCCACACAGATGCAACCATGCTTATTAAAAAGTATACTGACAAATTTAAACAGTGTCTCCCATCTTGTAGTGAAATGCATGTTGATTTAATTGGGTATCAAAATTCTTTCTTGTTGTTGTTGACATTATATAAACATCATTTTAACTTTACTTGCAGACTTTATGAGAAACAAGCAGCCAATATTTCCCTTAAGGATAACACATTGATAGGATACAAATCAGTAACAGTTTACGCTCCAAATGAACGTGGCGAATTGACACGAGAGGTATCGTTCGACAATCTCGACTTAATCATCTCGGTTGGTAGCGTCGTTGGTCTGTTTTTTGGTGCTTCATTTCTCAGTTTGGCTGAAGTAATATACATTTGGATTTTACGTAAATTTTAATTTATTTGATTTGTATAGAAACAAATCAAAGACATTTTGGAAATATTGTTATTAATTTTTTATTTTTTATCTCCTAAACAAGCACATCAAAAAAACTTTAAGGTTTTAACATTCTTTTAGCGTAAATTTGTAATCGCATTTTTTGCAAACTTTATGATTTTACATATAATTAGTATAGATTAAATATCAGTATTTTCCATCTTTGCCCACATTTATGGCCACATAATCAAATGATTTTTTCTAGAGAACATGGTTTTCCATTCAACCCAATTACAAGATAGTTTCTTTTTATCGGATCTAGATGCGGATATCGTGATATCTATATTACGCACGATATTTAACGCTCGCTCGCCTACGAAACGGGTGCGTCGATTGTTGTTTCTATTTAAAAATATTCCCAAAAAAATCCCGTTTAAAAAAAATCCATACAAAATCACGTTTTTCTTGATTTTTTCGTGTTTGAGCAATTTGTACTCGGTGGAATGGTACAGTGAATCTAATATTTTTGGTAGACAACATTTTGCATGACACACTCCACTCACACGCCATTCGTATATGAATCCTATGTTAGTGGAGAGTTTCTCTGCTTACTTTGCTTGTTATTTTGTCTATCAAAAAAATTAGATTCACTGTATTTTTGAAGAGTACAAATTGAGTACTAAATTTTGATATAAAAATGGTCAATGTATAAAATAAGGGGGGCCAATGACACGCACCTCTTTCATATTTGATTTTAGAGCCATGTGCTCTTGTTTTGTATTAAAAACGATAATTATCTATTTAACTTAAGTTCATGTATGGACGTTTTCATGTTACCACCGAAAAACAGCTGTTGAAATGATATTTTGCCAATTTAACCAGGGGCTCGGAAGTATTTTTTATTCGTGAAAAATTTAGCATATTTACGAATATTGGTGCATTTTGAGTAGTGAACAATAACTCCACTTTCTGACTATCGTAAATACGCAAAATGGCAGCAAATGGTACATGTCATTTAGTGGTGCGTCATTTGTAAAATCACACAGGCTTACTATAATTACACACTTTTGAAGTTCTTCACCAAAAATTTTTTTTTTGTCAAAAAATATAAATTTTTAGCCTGAAAATTGTTTTTATGCAATAATAACATGATTATTAATTTTATTTTGTGCTGTGTATGTGTTTCAAATCGAATTCTCGCTGAATACGAGCTGTATAATTACAAAAAAACTACGATAATCACGAATATTTGTAATATTTCTCGCTATATACTAAATTCATACAAAACTGTGTTTATTTGATGTTTTTTTTTTTTAGTTCCGAGCCCCTAGCAATTTAAGTGATAATTATTGGAGTACATTCCAGAAATTATACTACAGTTGGTAACAAAATTTTTATATTATTTTTTCAAATGTGTGTGTCGCTCTCGTGGAAAATATTACATTTATAAATGGATATAAATTCGATTTCACTCGACAAAGTTTGATTGCAAATGAAAGTTGAAGGACACGTCGTGAATTAAATCAGGTTTTTTATAAAACAAAAAAAATGAAGTTGTTTATTATTTTGAGCTTTACTCTCTTAATTTTGGTAAGTGAATAAAAAAAGCGTTTCAGTTGATGAATTCGACTAAGTAAATTAAAAAAGTAACGAAAAGTTGACGATAGATATCTCAAATTTTTTAAACAAATATTCAGCATGATGTGTCAACAATGTTGAACAAATCCTCAAGGAGCAACCATAAAAGTAAGAATTTACGTCGATCAATAATTTCAATAACATTTGATCATTCAATTATTAAATATTAGATAAGGCTTCAATAACAGCGTCATTGCCAGTATCATTGTGGTCACTAATACCAATGTCCTCTTTGAGTGGAATAGTTCGCATGATTCAGGCAAATATTAATTCTGAAAATGTTCGACAGGCTGCTATACAATACAAAGGTACTACATGGATGGAGAGGTACGAATTACTTGATAATTAATTTAGAATTATCGAATAATATGAAGAAAAAAAATATTTTATTGCTGTAGATGCTGTGGCATGCAAGGAACGAATTACACCAATATGTTCAAACAATTTCAAAAAACTTCACCAAAATATCCAGAAAACGAGTAATTTGGTTTTCCATTAATCGTAAAATTATATATATTATTACTATTATTATACATCTTTACAGCGAAAATATTGATTTTCTAATGGACATTATTGAAAGTGTGAATAATATGATAAGTGTGTTTGAACTTCATTACAATGCAGATCATGACCATGGATATCTTCTGAACTGGCTTGTGAAGTGAGATATTTAATGAAATTTGTTATGTCATAGACTTTATTAAATTTTTAAAATAATAATCATTTCTATTCATTCAGTGATGTAAATGATCTAGAAAAACACGCAGACAAATTGAAGAAGCTACACGATAGCCGGTAAGTAATCTTTGCTTAGTTTCAAAAATATGTTTTTGTTTAATTTAATATCTGATATTTTTAGGGGAATTTCGAAAATATTGAAAGAATTAATTCAGAGAGTATGTGTCGATATTCATACAAATATTTGCTGGTTAAAAGGATCAAAAGATGAACATAAGCCAATCATATTTCCCACCGAGACTGATTCGGACAGTGAAGAGAATGAAGAGTGAGATAAAAATTCGATTTGATTACTTATATTTTCTACAAAAATGAAATATAAAAATCAAGTAATTATGTACTGATAACATTACGTGGCAGATATAGTTACTTTAGTGAGTTTATGTCAAAACCTTATCGTAAATTCAATAAAAAAGGTTTATTCTCGAAAAAAATTGTTTTAAAGATCACATTTTTATTCTGCATAATTTTTTACTTTTTGATGAAATTAACAAAAGTTATTATAATATTTTTTGCGCGACTCTCAATCCAATCCATTAGGGCTCTTATATATATTCGTACCTGCTTGGGGACGAACATAAATACATATATCAACGGTAACGGCTACATATCCGTGTCCTGGACACGGTGTCCACGGCTCACTGTCAATACTCCCACAGATGACAACTTCATCCGTACCCGTCACGGATGCGGATATATATTTTATCCGTATCCGTTAAACTAAGCTTACGAATACGGATGAATTGTATGTCCGTGCGATGTGTATCCGTGAAAAATTCTTAATACATCCATTGCTATTTCTGTATTCACAGATAAAAAAATTATCCGTATCCGTAAACAATTTTTTATTGCTTTTATTCAACGTAAGTTTTGATGTAGTTCCAAATTTCTTTTCCGCATACTGAGCGCATTGAAATATTCTAATCAGCTCAAAATTTTGAAATGCACAAAAATAATTTTTTAACGTTTTTGGGCCTAGAGATTCAAGAACAATGGTTTTTTACCCTGTACGCATTTTGTACCTTTTTGTTAGTACAAGAACTCTTCAGCACGGCATTCTTTTTCGGCTCTTTTTAGTATGGCACTCAAGTCGGCCACCGAAATTAACATTTGCACCTACCGAACAAATCGGTTTTCCTGAATTGAAAGAAAAAACAAGAGAAAACATAGATTTTCCTTTCGTTTTTTAATGGTGTGGGTTTCGGTATGAGCAAAGATAGAGTTTTATCTTTTACTAATTGCATACATGCATTGAAATCGACGGTTGATTTTGCATTGGCGATATACCACTGACAGTATAGTTTGTTCTACCAAACGGGAATGCACATGGTATTTGGATGCATACAAATAGTATGTAAACTTGTGGCTCCATAAAAAATGAGTTCAAATTCACAAATCTTACATAAGATTCAGTCAGTAATATAGCAAATAAGATAAGTTTCATTTTTAAAAAATAAAGAAAAATGTTGATTTCAAACAATTTGTTCAACTGTTTCAAGAAATGTTTTAACAAATAAAGAGTTTTAACAAATAAAGGGTTTAAAGATATTATGAAGTAATTGTGTATCAGCAAATTATCTACAAAAAATAAGAACAGAAATTCTTATTTTCTCGCGAATGTATCCCATACGTATAACACGTGTTATTTATTTATGGTTATTTTGTGTATTGGTCTTATAAAATTTTACAAACAAGATCTCACTTTTTTATGTCGATTTTAGTTAGTATTGACTGTTCGTTCGTTCGTTCACTGGCAATAAAAATAACATATGCGTTCGTTTTTTAATAGAAATTTTGTTCGTTCGTTTGTTCATAGAAATCGAAAAAAAAATTGTTCGTTTATACTTCTTGAATAATTGAATTTGTTCATTGTTCACTTGATCGTTCATAGTATTTTTAAGAAATGTTTGATTACAATGCATGTTTGTCGTAGGTTCTGACGCTGCCGACCCAAGGAAGGAGGCTTTTTTCTCCCTTTTCAAAAAACTTCATAAAAAAATGAAATAATTGAAATTACATTGACTTTGGTGTCAGGTTTCAGTTCAAATCCATCATGAAACAAAACATACATGTAGATTAAATCATGACACAAGAATGGGTTCTTGTCATCTTGAGCACTACTTGCCTTTTTTGCACTTGATAATATAGTACTTAAAACTGCTTCACCGCCTTCTCCAGGATCTATTGACAAAAATAAAGGAACCTCGAATATCGTTGAAAATTTTAAAATGTAATTTAATATGTTTCCTTGAAGGTGGAAAAAAAGCCAGAGAAAACATAAATTTCGCTCTTATATTTTAATGGACTTAGTTTCGGTGTGAGCAAACTCAATGTCTTTTCTTGAACTAGAGCCATGCAACCATCAAAATCAACTGTTGAATTTTCGTTGGGTAAACCACTGAAATATAGAGGTGAAATTTTTAAGATTCGATAATTCATTCGAAGTCTAATAGTTTTTCTTACTAAAAATTGTAAGAAATGGTTCCAAATGTGAATGAAGATGGCTTGGTTATGCATCAAGAGAAAAGGATCAACTTTTTCTATAATTTGCTGGGCAAAGAGAGCCCATTTACTGGGCTTTATTTTGCCTGTCGTATTTTGCTGTTCCTGTAAAATCAAAACAAAATGGGAAAAAGAACTAAGAAAAGTGGGCTACATAGAATGTGTTTTCTTAGTAAAAGATTTTATTTCATGTTCTTCGATAATTGTATTTTACATAATATAGCTCGTACATTGTGCTTACGTATTTTGTGTTTGTGTGTGTACAAGTTTGAATGTGTCGATAGTTTAATGCACGTGTATCGGTTTGTTGTATTCCATACGAAATTAATTCAATTTAGAGATGGACACAATATGACAAAAATAAATTATACACCAAAACAACAATTGACTATTTGATCCTGGGTGCATGTAGGTCGTGACATATAGGTCCGACAATGGTCTTTACAAGTCAAAAAATTCAACAATTTTTTTTGTTGTTGATAGTTCTTAAAGGTTTATTTCATAATTGTTTTGTTTTTACATTTAGATCTTTCATCTTAAGAAATAGTATTTTTTCTTCTCAAAGTTACAAAGTAAGAGAGACGTAGGTTTTGTGAAATTTTCTCTGGCCGATAAAAATTCATTAAAATAATTTTTCATCAATGTATCTTTTCATTTCTTTTCATTTTTGAGATCAACTGTTGATCGCATCGAAATCAGCTTCCTTGGTAAGATATATTTGTGCAAATTGTTTGCTTGATCCAGAGATACACCCCAGTCGAATAAAATATCTATATATTTATATTGTTTTTCATTGAAACTATTGACAGCTATCGAGTTTTGTTTTGTGTGTATTTTAGTGTTGTGCGACTTAAAAAATGCTTCTCACTCTTAATTCAGAAGTTCATTTGTAAAGCTGAAAAATGGATGATTGTATCATTTTTTAAAAAGGAAAAAAAAACTTCACTTAATTTTTTTATGGCACTCTATTTCATCATATCCACTTTAAAAGCTTAAAAAAAGTGTATGTATGTATGTTGTTGGTGACATCCCTTTTTTATCC